TCTCGAACTCCTGTGCTCAAAGCGACCTCCTACCTCAGCTTCCCAAGTAGCTGGGACTACAGGCGCATACCCTCATGCCCACTAATTTTTATCTATTTTTTGTAGAGATGGGGGTTTCACTATGTTGCTCAGACTGGTCTTGAACTCCTGGCCTCAAGTGATTCTGCTTTGGCCTCCCAAAGTGCTAGAATTTCAGGCATGAGCCATTATACTCAGCCTCAAAACATATTTCAGATATACATATTTTTATAAGCATGGTTCATTTATATTCATGCAATCTACTTTTTTTCACTTAACAATATGTCTTAGAGGTGTTTTCATATTGTCACCTTGACTTATTTTTTCTGAAGCTGCATAGTGTTCAACTATATGGATGTATATTATTTGTCTGCTCACCTATGTAAAAACCTTATAGATCTGGCATAGTGTGTTAACTTTTTAAAAAAGTGCATACATTTTTATCATGGTACACAAGGTTTTCTACAGGATAATATACGTGGTTGTATATTTTGTTTCTATGTATGTACACACATTTCCATGTGCCTCACATTTAGAATGGTAAAATCATTGGTTTGGAAAACTTTTAAAGGTCACCTTGGACATGTTGCTTTAGTCCCTTTGATAAAATATCTGCCACATGGAAGGAACAGTCCTTGTTTGAATCGAGGACTTGCTCACTATTATGGGACAGACTTGACAGTTACAATCTTTCAGCTGCTAGGAACAGAATGCCTGATTAAAACAGAATGCAAGGGCATTTAATTACCTCACACACAGGAAGCCCAGAGGTAGGCTGTCCTGGGTTTGGTTAATTTAGCAGCTCAACTTTATGGAATCACTTAGGTTTCCCTCAGAGTTCCAAGACTATTGTGATGGTCCATGCATCATAACTCCATACAGCTGTGTTTGAAGGCGATGCAGACAGAATAGGGATTCTTCCTTGTGTATCAAGGAGGAGATCCTGTCCCAGAAGCCCCTTGGTGGACCTCCCCTTCTCTCCCATTGGCCAGAATTGTGTCACATGTTCAAGCCTTAGCTGTGTGGAATTCTGGGAAAGCATGCCTCTGGACTCTTCAGATTCTATAGCAATAGACAGGTGTTCTTAGTAAGGAAGGTTGAAAGGAGTGGGGAGAGATGTTGAATTGATACTCTATGGAGTTGGCTAGAGTGGCTAATGTCATTTTTGGATAACGAGTCAAAATCTATCCCTTGATAACTTCACTGTTGGTCATAGTTAAACTCTATAAGCCATTCCTAAACAGCAAGACTTCCAATGAAGGAACTACATAGAAAGCTGTAATGTCTCCCTTCTTCACCTTCCTCTATACTCCTTTGCATGATCCTTGTGTACTGTCATATTGGTGAAAAATACAGGAGATCCCTGTTTTCTGTGGCTTGGACTCTTCCGTTATTTTTGCATTGGACTTTGTGCCGTAGCTGCACTAAGGTTCTTTCTTTATAGCAACTCCTCACAGTCTATAATTGCTCCTTTATTTATTGTTTCTGCTTCCATTGTGCTACCACAGGTACCTGAAATAATAAACTGATAGAAACAAGTCACAACTTCTACCAAGTAGTTTGAATAGATTAGAGTTACAAGAACAAGTTGCATACTTGTATCTTTTTAAAGTGATTACTAGGGATGTTATAAAATTTAACAGTAATATGTACCTTAACTTTCCCTTACTTTTCCTTCTTTTTCATCAAATTTTTAAAAGACCTCTGATTTAGAAGGGATGGTAAGTACATATTTGATGTGGGAGTCCTTAGCTCTAAGTTACATACCATCCTTCATTTCTTTGGACTTAGGATTTGTGAAGCAGTTATAACATTTTGGAGGAAAATGTTAAATGATGTATAATAGAAATAAAAGGCCGAGACCTTGGATCTTATGTGCATCACCATCCCCTCGACATCCCAAAGTTTTAGGGGCTTTAGAAGGTCCATCTCTCTTTGGGTCTGAGCATCTGCAAATCATAGGATTGCCCCTTCTGATTATATTTGTTCAAGGGCCCATGATTTTTCAACCCTAACACCTAGAATTATTCGATAAGACCATATATTTATAGATGCTATTTCTAAACACAAACTTATAATGCGATAGATCCAATTATTTCATTTTCTAGTTGAGACAATTATGGAGATAATGTTTACTGGAACATTTCAGACTTTTCTCCCTGACACTGAATTTGTTAAATTATTAACTTTAAAACTAAACTCCTACTTAATATCTTCATTTCCTTTTTGTACCACCCTTTGGATTTGTTTGCTTCCTGTGTGTAAATTTCTAGGAATCACAAGCCCCAAGAGGTTTAAAACTAGAATCTTACCAGTTTAAAGATTTGCAAAAGAGAAAAAAACTCTACTCCTCAAATAACATAATTTTTCACATGGTATGTTTCCTTAAAAGTCATATTGTATGGAAAGAACATGAGGCCTATTGCTGAATAGAAAAGGGAAAACTTAGGAAGATTTATAAACACTTGAATAGGTATTTGTCCACCCTCCAACTCTATCTTCTTTCTTGTATGTCATATGGACCTAGCCAATGTGGTATGACTGGCTCTCATTTTATGGCCTGTGAAGGCCCCTACCTTTTCTTTTTAGAGCATGTGGGCCTTTTACAAATTACCCCTAATTAGCACATTAGTAGGCCAGAAGAATACTGAAACTGACAGGTAGTCTGACTTCTTGGCTAAGCCACAGCAGATACTCTTTGGTCCCTAAACTAATTTGATTCTTTCTTATTCTTTAATTTCCTGTGATACAATGGAAGAAACTTCCCTACCTATTTCTCAGTGCCCAAAAAGACAAAATCTTTTGTGAAAATACCTTTCCCCTCCAACTTTGGTTGGTTCTTCATGTTCAGTTTTCTTCCAAGGTAGCACCCAAATAATTGTAGAAAGTCCTTGAGATTTTTGCCCGTTTTGAGTGCTGAAAGGTGAGAAACATTTTAAAAGAGTTACAAGTTTTGGTTAGAAAGAACACTTCTCATCTGTTCATAAAGATGGCTGTAATCTTAATAGGTACATCCATTAGTACCTACTTTGAAAAATGCGGCAGGGCTGAGCAACCTCGTTGATGGCAGGTTTGGATCCATTATGAAGACTAATAGTAGAAACCATCACCCTTGGTTGTATTATATTTGCATAAATTTTAGTCTATAAAAGAGGATAAATGAAGGCAAGAAAGCCTCAAGCTTGGATCAAAGGCAGATGCCATCACGTTTTCTTTTTTTATGCTTTAGAAGTTCACCTGGACCCCCACCGGACATGGTGTCCTGTCGCAGACTGTCAGACAGTGTGCCCTGTTGCATCAAGTGACCCAGGACAGCCTGTGATGGTGGAATGCCCTTCTTGCCACCTGAAATTCTGCTCATGTTGCAAGGATGCTTGGCACGCAGATGTCTCCTGTAGAGACAGTCAGCCTATTGTCCTGCCAACAGAGCACAGGTAAGAAAGAAAACTTAGTCTTTGGCATTATTCACTAGTTTTCTTAGAAACTCAACATAGGTTGCTTGAAGAAGGAGTTATCTTGTGATGGTGTTTAGAGATTGATCATTTTCCTGCAGAACTTCCCTGAGAAATGTCTCAGAATTGGTAAGTTGCTAACAAAGAATAACTAAAAAAAGCATTTCTAAAAGGGATTTTAGTTATTTGCTTCAGGCGAATCTTCCAGATACTGCTATAGTTAGGTTTTGCATGAGTTTTGTGTTCTCTTTAGGTATAGAGGCACCGTGCTCCACTGATTCTCAGGAGGAAGTCATGGGTTGTCCTCAGCTATTTATTAGGTACTATGTCTGCCTACCATTGGTATATCTTGTTCTTGTTGCTTGCAAAGAGAGACAAATTATTTTCTTGCCTGACTAAATTGCCAGCTCGTGAGGTGTGCCAATCATATCAGAAAGAACACAGCAATAGAAACAACACTCCTGAAGTGGAGTACAATCTTAAATTCTTAGGTAATATAGGGAGAGAGATTCTCTCTTAATACGTTATGCTCTGAAAAGATGGTGCCAAGGTTGAGGTCTTGTTATGATGAGAAACAATTAAATCTGTACCTTTTAGTACAGAGGGTTTTTATGACAGTAGCAGGGCCCAGAGTGAGGGACCTCTGTGTTTGATCCCTTGCTTTGCTGGAGACGATGGCTGTTCTGCATCAGCAAGAACAAAATACCAGTGTTATGGTCCAGTTGGCTTAATCACCCAGTGCCTTCAGAGTGTGTAGAACCAGTCTTCAGGAATAGTAATGCTACTTGGCTGTGATGCTACGCTCGAATCTCAGAACAAACAAACGAAGAGGAAAAAAATCTAATGCACATGGCAAGCATGTGCCTCTTAGCCAGATTTAAACCAGTGCTGCCTACATTGTTGTGACCGTAGCAGTAAGTTCCCTGGGTATCACAGGGCAATGTGAAGAACTCAGAGGAGAGGAGGATTTGAGTGCTGATATTATCACTTGGTATCTGTGTGTCCTCATACCAGTCAGTCAGCCTCTGTGAGTCTGTTTCCCATTCTGAAAAAAGGGAAATTAAGATACAGATGGAGCATCCCTTATCTGAAATGTTTGGGACTAGAAATGTTTCAGATCTCAGATTTTTTCAGATTTTAGAATATGTGCCTTATACACTTACCAGTTGAGCATCCCTAATGTGAAAACCCAAAATCTAAAATGCTCCAATGAGCATTTTTTGGAACTTCATATCAGAGCTTAAAAAGTTTTGGATTTTGGACCATTTGGGATTTTGGATTTTCAAATCAGGGATGCTCAACCTGTGGTAAGTGTCTCACCACTATATAAAGTTATTGTTGGCACCAAATCCCATCATACATTTGACAACACTTTGTGAATTGGGTATCTCTGTGTGCTGGGTGGTGGTTTAGAGGAACAGTGGCTAAAGTGTAATCCAGTGCTATATGTCACCTGTCCTTCCCTCCCACTCCAACTTGTGTGGCTTCTCCTTTTCTGTGCCCCTTTGGGCAGTGAGCCTGTACTGGTCTATTCATGTGTTTGGAGAAGATATTTCAATGGTATTTTAAAGTATCGATTATTGAGGTTCCCTTCTCCATTTGCTTAATGAACAGACCATTAGATAGATCTGCAGGCCCCATCCCCAGGGCCGCGGACCCGTACCAGTCTGTGACCTGTTAGGAATGGGCCTCATAGCAGGAGGTAAGCGACAGGGGAAGGAGCAAAGCTTCATGTGTATTTGCAGGTGCTCCCCATCACCTCCTGAGCTCCACCTGTCCCCACCCCATCCCCTGGGTCCATGGAAAGATTGTCTTCCATGAAACCGGTCCCTGGTGCTAAAAAGATTGGGGACCGCTGAGATAGATCATCTATGCCTGGTTTGGATCCTGAGCTAGTTCCTCTGTTGTATAGCTGACTCCTTGCATTTCTTATTGAAACAATGTGTGCTCAGAGAATGAAATATTAATTTGGCAAAATAATGAGTTAAATCAACTGTGGAAACTGTAATCATATAATTCACTCAAAGCCAAAATAAATAAAGATTCCTTCTTGTTTGACTTATCTGCACATCTAATAATCTGTGTCTCTCCTATTTTACCCACACCCTGTTCTTTGGAAGTGAATTAAGCATCGACATTAAGAGTTCATTACCTAACTGTCAGGAGCCCTGGGAATTCAGCTGATGACCATCCATTTTGTTTCTAGGGCCCTCTTTGGGACAGATGCAGAAGCCCCCATCAAGCAATGCCCAGTTTGCCGGGTATACATAGAACGCAACGAAGGCTGTGCCCAGATGATGTGCAAGAACTGCAAGCACACGTTTTGCTGGTACTGTCTGCAGAACCTGGACGTAAGTTCCACCGGGGAGAGTTTCGTTGTCTGTTCTTTATTCTGTATCTGAACCTCAGCCAGTATCGTACAGGGTTTCCTTTTAAAATATTGAGGCTATTTTTGTCCTACAGAAGGAATTTATTTTTCTTACTGAGACTTCCTAAGCCTGCTACTTTAGCTAGCTCTCAAACCTCCTTTGATTACCTTAGGTTCATCACCTTAGCTTTAAAGGCAAGCTTTTGTTTTAGGGGCATTTCCTGTTTTTTGGGCGTGGTCTTACTCTATTATGTAAATGATTATTAGTGTCTTAGTTTTTATATTGCTGTCATAACAAATTGCTACAAACTTAATGTCTTAAAACAATGCAAACTGATTATCTTACAGTTCTACACATTAGAAGTCTGACATAGGTCTTGCTGGGTTAAAATCAAGGTGTGGGCAGGGCTACATTCCTTTCTTGAGGCTCTAGAGGAGATTCGGTTTTCTTGCCTTGTCTACCTTTTGGAGGCTGCCTGCTTTCCTTGGCTTGTGGTTCCCTTTCTCCATTGTCAAAGCCAGCAACATCACATCTCTCAGGCCCTTCTTCTATAGTCATTGCTCCCTCTGACCACAGCTAGGAAAGGTTCTCAGCCTTTAAGGGCCTATGTGATTAGATTGGGCCTATCTGGATAACATAAGATAATCTTCCCCATCTCAACATCCTTAATTTAATCACACTTGCAAAGTCCTTTTTGTCACATGAGGGTAACATATTCACATGTTCTAGGGATTAGGTGGTGGACATCTTTGGGGGCCAATTATTCTGCCTACCACTAAGTAGGTTGTTTTTTTCTTTTTGAATTTAAAGGAGAAAAACTGTTCAAATCAATGGTGTCTCTTAACTAAATCGCTCATTCATTGGCATGACAGTGGCATTGCTTCTGTTTTGTCAAGTGCTCTCTTTCCAAATCAAGGGGCCTGGCCTAGTTATTATTTTCCCTCACCATTCATGAAGCAAGTCTTTTCAAATTTAGGTGCAGTTTCATTCAGCCCTGTGCCCGGGACAGTGGTAACCTCAGAGTTAAAATGTGATCTGAAGGATTGCTGAGGTCATACTCCAATTCTGGTCTTTTAAAGTTTGGCGTAGCATAAGTTGTTTATAGATATTCCTTATTTTGGCAGCTTGGACCTATAAAATCTGTCCATATCAGCGTAATCCCTCAGTCATGGTTGAGTTGCCATTCTTTTCTCAGCTCTTCATTTTTGTTGCTTGGTTTGCTTTAATTCGATTTGTGTAGTGCTTTAGTATCAGACACACTGCGTGAGTGAGTATGACGTTAACATGTGATGTCTTTTGGCCACCACATGCCTGATTTTTAACTAGAAATTAGATAAGTTAAGGTTAAGATGACATGCACAAACAGGACTCTTAATCAGCTTGATCTTAGTATTTTCAGAAGTATAAATTAGGGAGCGGAAAATGGATATTTTAGACTCTAGACATTCAGCAGTGCAGGTTGAAAGAAATGGTTTTCATTTTTTTAAAACATTGATTTATTACAGCCCATTGAATTCCAATTATAATTGATATTTAAGACCTAACATAATTCAAAACGAGCGACATTCTGGATGAGGATTTAACTGTACACAACACATGCATTACACATGAAAATGAAATAATTTTTGTTTTCCTTCATGTTTAACCACAATATTTAATTGGGTTCATATCCACGAGGAGGCTGAGGCCCTTAGGTTCTCTTTAGGAGGCCAGAGTATAAAGGAATAAATATGTGCACCAGATCTCCATCCTTTGGCTGAAGCATGTCTGGGGCATGGTGTTGCAAAGCACACACTGTTCTGTCACTTGTGCTGTTCTGGTGCTTGAGATGAAATGGCACAGATGTTAAACGGCTGGAGACACAGACTTCAAATGTTGAAACATCTTTTTCTGGTCACTGTTTTTTGAGATCCCATTTTCTCTGTGTTAGCCAGGGGGCATTGGCTTGTTGGTAATGACGTTTTTCTCTAGGCAAGTGATGTTCTACGTCAGATGGTGCTGTTGATCTCTGTTTATAGGAAAGTTTGAGAGCATGGGGCTGGCAGTGTGGTGATTATCTAAAATCCAAGCCTGAGACAGACACCAAATAGAGGGATTTTTGAGTGTTGTTGAGGTGTTGAGTTTGTTCCTGCCTTGATCATCCCTGCAGTTTCGGAGGACGAGGTATTCTTAATCGTCTGCCTTGGAATCCTGTTCCCATCTCTAGCCTCAGAGACTTGTTCCTTTGACTTATCTCTTCTCTGTCCTGTGACTTCAACTTCCACTTTCTGCATATTTATGCATTCACCTGTGTCCCATTTAAAAATGAGTAAACGTTTTTTCAAACCTACATCTTTTCCTTACTACCCCATTTATTTCTCTCCTTCCTTTAGAAGCCAAGCTTCAGAAAAGCCTAATCACCTCTTGCTGTTGATGTTTTCTATCTCCCAATCACTGCAATGTGCTCCGATTACCACATAGTCAAACTCTGACCGAATTCTTCCCAGGTTTAGAGTGATTTCTTATCAGTAAAATCCAGTGGATACTTCCATCCGCATCTTATCTAGATTCTCCACTCCATTCAACATCTCACCACCTCCATTTCAGTGATACTATCTCTGCTGGTTTCTCTTCTACCTTTCTGGCCACACCTCAGTTCCCTTTCCAGGCTCTTCCTTGACTCCTTCTTAAATGTTTGTGTCCTCTTTGCTTTGCTTCTCAGTCTACACTTCTCCCTGGGTAATCTCATTCTACTCTATGGTTTCTTCCACCCCATGTGCACGAATGCCCAAGTCTTTTTCCCAAAGTCCAGATCTATGTAATGAGCTGCCTTTCAAACAGTACTGCTTGGATGACTCAACTATTTCTCAAGTTCAACATGTTCAGACTTAACATCTTCCCAACAAAATCCTTTTCTATGTTGACATTTGTCTCAAAGCCACTGCCTTGCTTCTACCCATCAGCTTTCCCCTCATCTGTGATTTCTTCTCCCTGTTTCTTTATCTAGTTAGTTGCCTTTTTAATGTCTCATGACCATAACTTCCTCTTCTCCATCTGTCCTCAGTCACTGGCACTTTGCCTCTCCTGGTTTGACACACACACCTTCCACAGCCTCACTCGCGGTCTTCCATTCCACAGTGCCTCTGCCAGAGCCACCTTTCCAAGATAATTGGTCAGGTCATTACTCCCTTTTTTAGAATCAATCAAGAGTCTCATTGATTATGATGTTTTCACTCAGTGACTGGCAAAACTACTCAGATATTCTAAAGATTATGGGCTTGGAATTCCTAGGGAGAGTCATTAATATCACCAGAGAGAGACTTCGCTTCCTCTAGGTGATCTGATTACTGAAACCTCTCTCTTTGTTTTTCAGAATGACATTTTCCTCAGACATTATGACAAAGGGCCATGCAGGAATAAACTCGGCCACTCAAGAGCGTCAGTGATGTGGAACCGAACACAGGTACCCTGACCTTAAAGGGAGCATGACAAACCAGAATTGTGATCGCTTAAAGAGCCCACCTCTTCATGCTTCCCACTCTATTCCCTACTGATCCAGCCAGCCTGGAAGGTTCTGGGGGAGGGCTAGGGAAAAGTAATGGGGCAATGACGCAAAGTTAATTCATGAGCACAGTCTCCTTGAGGACAAGTTTGGGGGGCAGGGGCACCAGTGCAGCCAAGCCATTAAGAGTGACCTGCAGAATGCAGGCAGATGTTCTTTCCTCTTGAGAAACGTTCCTAAAGCCCTTTAAGGCATATTAGCTATCAAAGGCAGTGCTCTAAAATCCAGTGAGCCCCTGCTGGGGCTTGGATGCTCTGTATATGCCATTGTGTGTTTATGTGGCAGGTTCAAAGGGAGTCATGGTTTATTTTTAATAGTGCTTTATATTTATTAAAGGCTGTGTTCTTTTTGAGGGACTCAATGCTAATATCTTAGTAATCATAATTACCACGCTATGAGACAGTTGAGGAAACTAGGGTAGAGAGAGAGCCAACACCAACAATTCATAATTATCGTGGGCTTGCGACAGCTTCTGTTAGCATTTGGTTTATTCTCAGCCTTGATTTAGTCCTTGGTGTCTCCCTGGTTTGTGTGCAGTTCAGATCATTGCTGGGCACTGGCTAAAAGGTCCCACAAATGTAATTGTTTTCTGTGCCTGAGATGGTGTCTTAGTCATTCTGGCTACTATACCAAGTTACCATAAAGAAGGAGATTAAACAATAGAAATTTATTTCTCACAGTCTGGAGGCTGAGAAATCCGAGTTCTGGGTGTCAGCATGGTCAGGTTCTGGCTCTCTTCCTCGTCCTGAGATGGCCATTTTCTTCTGCGTCTTCGCATCGTGGAGAGTCTAGAGATAGGAAGCGAGTTCTCTGACAGCTCTTCTTCCAGAAGCACTAATCCCATCATGAGGGTCCTGCCCACATAATCTAATTAACTTCCAAAAACCCCATCTCCAAATGCCATCACTTTGGGGATTCAGGGTTTTAACAAATGAATTCAGGGGCAACGTAAACATTGGTTCATAGTAGGTGGTATAGTTGGAATAAGTATACATATAGAAAGATTTAACTGCTGAAGTACGGTTTTCTTCTAAATTTCCAGGTGGTGGGGATTCTTGTAGGCTTGGGCATCATTGCCTTGGTGACTTCACCCTTGTTACTCCTGGCCTCCCCGTGTATAATCTGTTGTGTCTGCAAGTCTTGTCGGGGCAAGAAGAAAAAGCACGACCCATCTACAACCTAAAGATCTCTGTGTTCACGTGCCACAGATGTCTGAGTTACATGAGACAGCGCAGTGATAAAGCCCCACTTAGTGATCTTGCCTCCTTCTCCTTGCCAAACTTTGGAAGTGCCTCTGTGTCCAGACTTCAAACCTGCCTGCCAGCCTCCGGTGTCAGAAAAGGCCAAGTCCTGGGTGCGAGTGTTCCTGTGTAACAAGAACCCAGCTCTGCGGTCCAGGCTGTGTCTATGGAGCACGTCGGGAGCTTTCGGGTTGCTTGGGAGGAACTAACACATCATCATTTTATCATCCAAAGGATCCCACTGGACTGTCAACTTCCTGCCAAATTCAAGGAACCTGAGTGAACATTTGATGTAATAAATGTGTTGTCATGGTTGGCAACATACAAGATAACTGAGAAGCTAGAGTCTGTTCTGTGTTGATTTGGCCACCATGAGAAACACGGGAGAAACCCAGTGTAGGAGGGGAAGCATAAGACTGCAAAAGGAGAAATTCTCAGAGCTGTAAAGTAGGCTGCTTATCTTAGGAGTCGATAGGGTGGTTGTGCCTCTGCCAGCTACTGGGTGTGCTGTTCCCGATGTTCCCACAATGACTTGGCAGAAACACAATAGGTTTCTCCTTGTGTGATCTCAGCTTCAAGCAGGAGAAACTGCTGTGCAGAGGGAGTTGTCCCTTCCCAGTAGAAGGGTTGCAGCTTGTTAAACAATAGAGTCTGATATAGGGTCTCTCCCTTGGCAAGTAAAATTTTCTAAGGTGTCCGCATCATCTCTTACAGCTGGTAGCTGTGGTCTGCAAGACTGTTTCATATAAAAGAGTGCTAGAGGTTCAAAACCTTCATTATAGATAACAGGGACCATTCTTGGGCTCTGTGTTCACACACCCAATAGATTTGAAATTGGACCTAAGAGTACGTGTCTAGGGTTAATATTAAAGTCCATAGGTACGTCTAAAATCCAGATGACTTACAGTACCTAGAATTTCTATCCATTGGGCGTGCATGGATATACCCAATAGTATACACAAAATAAAGATTTACTGAAAAGTCTTCTATGACTAAAATGGTTTATCATAAATCACCTTAAAGATTTTTTGCATATTATATATGTGAATTTTGGTTATAAGTTCATAACTTACCCAAGGGTATAGACTCATAAACATAACTCTTTTAAACCAATACTTACTGATATCATGCCATCTCTGTTTGTAAAAACACTAATTGATACTCAAGTTATTTACATGTTTTCAAACAATTCAGAGCAGCTCTGTTCTCGGAATAATTTATTATTGCTCTTTCAGCAACTGTTAGGACAATTTGAATACTGTCTATGTGTACAAGGCACTGATAAAACAGCAACAAAAATATGTAAGAAATAAAATGGAAATGCTTTATATATTTTAAATAGTTTGGATTTATATCATCTCGTTGTGGATTTTTTCCCGTTTTACTTTTAGTCAGATATGAATAAATGGGTTTTGAAAAGACAAACCTTTTTCTCCAATGACAGGATTACGTAGTTGCCATTAGCAGTGCAGCCTGGTGCTTCATGACGTCTACGCTAAATGTTACTGGAGAGTTCTCCTTGAAGCCAGGGATACCATGTCAGGAACTATCCAGGACTTATGATATTTTCTGAGGTAACTGGGTAACTAGATTATTACCTTGCTGCTATCCTGGAACTATTATTAAAGGATGACGCTTTGCTTATGTAACGGGATGTATCCTAAGTGGGGATGTGTATATTTAAGGAACTCTAATTCACATGTATGTGTCGATATCTGATGTATGTGTACTACATCTATTGGTCATGTACATTTTTATTTACAGTATGTATGGAACATAGATGAGAACTCTGGGAAAACTTTTGAATGGCAACCAACCAAAATCATTTTTAATCATTTATTAGAAATTTCTTAATATTAAGTGTCTTTGTTTCCCTTTGAAACTCTAAACATTTCAGAAAAAAATAAACTCTTCTATCAGTGTGTTTCATATTAGTATAAATACAAGTGTACATATATTTGAATAGTTAATTTGCTTTGTTTTACACATAGCCTCATTTTACCTGCCTCATTGCAGGTAAAGGGCATTTATAACTGCTCAGGGGAACTGAACTGAAATTGAATCTTTGTCACAAGAATGTCAGTAGTGGCAATGTACTCCTCCATTAGTAAACTCTCTAAGTTTGGTTCCACAAAGAATCTTTAAACGGGCTGATTTCAAGTAACCTAAAATGGTGTGTTATCAAAAGAAAAGGTCCCAAATTTGGAGTAAAGGTGGAAGAAAATATCTATGCTATTTCCTTGGCAAATTGAAGAAATTTGCCTTTTCACAGAGATATTATAACAGAATTAGCTACTTTTGGGGGGTAGGGCAGGGCTCGGGAGTGTGGGTTTTTTGTCAAATTGATTTTAAATAACTGGATTCAATTTTTTTTTTTTTAATACTGAAAAGTGCCTGAAAAACGGTAACTTCTTCCTTAAATAGCTAAATGCGTGTGAGATTGTCAGAATCAACAGGAACAGGTTGATAGGTTAAATCCAAACATATCTCTTGTGCATCAAAGGGCATGATGAAAACCGACCCATAGGCTATGTTTACAAAGGAGAGAGCTGACGACTTTGATAACAGAGGCTGATATTTTGGGTTTGGATAAATAGCCAGTGAAAGAGATTAACCTTGTCTCTTTTCACTGCCCGGTTTATCCTTTCCTAGTAATTCTCTTCCTATGTTAGAAGGAAATATGGGTCTACATAAGGATGTTTGGATATTGTGGCAAAAAATCTTTTTGTGTTTGGAGTGGTATAGGCCATTTGAAATAGAATTCAAAAGTCCTCCACCAACTTGTAATCTGGGTGTAATGACCCACTATCCAGATACACTGTGGGATGTATTGGCACAACATCTAGCCGTTGCCCCCCGTCTAGGAAATTTTCTCTTGTTATTAGGTAGGGAAGTGAGGAAGGAAATGTTAGAATCTTAGGCATCCTATTTGTTCATGCCATGGGTATTTGCTGTGGACTTGAAATCTGTACTTTGAAAGAGGCCTTTGAAAAACAAATAATTCAGTGTGAATTTTCTTGTGGCTTGCATCATGAAAATCTTACCTATCCAGGTTTGCAAATCTACATGTTTGTTTGAATGTAAATCACTGTTTCTAGGAACCCCACATGTTTTCTTAAAAATTATTCAGAATCTAAATATGTTTTACTTTAGCCTTCCCTACACAGTGCTTCTAAAAGACTTTTCTTTCTGTTCATCAATAAATGCCTTTCTGTGTATAGAATTATGTCTGTATGTGTAGTTTTAAGGTCAATTTCAGAAATGCCTTAGATGAATGACATTTTATAAAGTTGTCATCTCATGTTGATTCATGATCCGGGAAGTTTTGTTATGTATTTAAGAAAGTGCTATTATGTTATATTTTTCCAATTCTTTGGGAGGAAAATAGCTGTTTTAGTCTGTCTAGCCCCAATAAATGTGAGCAGGAAAACAAGTGTGTTAACCTTTGTTGTGCTGCACATTCTAGACACACGCAATTTTATCCTCTAGGAACCAACCAAATCACTATCAAATCCTAGGTTCAGAATTTGAAAAATGTACCAGAATTTGCAATGCTATCTATGGAAATAATTCTTGCTGCTTTATTTCTTAAAAGAAACTAGGGCGAGTGTAATGCCTTTATTTGTTGCAGACTTTCTTATTGTATGTGTGATATTCCACACTGCCAGTGCACAGGAATTGATCATTATCCAGAGAAATAACAATGCAAAATTCTAATACAAAATGCTGCCAGGTGTCAAATCCATTAGTTCTGTAAAATGAAAGTTGGACTAAATGCTTTCTAAGGTCAGTTCTAACCTTCCAAAAGTCTGTTAGAGGAATGTGGTTTTTTGTTATAGGATTTTTAAGAAAGGATTTACGTTAGAGTGTTAAGGTCATTTCCATTTGATTAGTATTCAAGGCAGGGCTCTCCTGAAGTTGAGTGCCAGGAGCTAGTTAACAACTAGAACTTGTGTTTCTGCAAGACCGAAAAGCTCTGTACTGGTATCAATGCCTTTTTATTGAATGTTATGTGTTTCTAAAATGATACCTCAGTACAAAGGTTTACAATTGACTTACAATTCAAATTTCGTTTTCTAACCGGTTTGGAAGAAATCAATAAGATCATTTAAAAACATTTTTGCGTTATGGTTTGTTAATTTTCCTAATCATCTCCAGAATGTCAACATTATTTCATTTTTAAAGTGTGCTTATTGTGTACTAAAACTTAAATTTGCATTCCCAAAGAAATAGTGAGTGAGCCATTTTATATAGCAGTGCTTTTAATCAATGCCCTAACCAGCAAACTCGTTGCAATGTAAATTATGAATCTAGTGATTTGGAGGAGCATGATAATTAGATTTTTTTTGGTAATTCAATTATTTTTATTAGTAAATCTGATTTTTCCTTAGACCCTAAAGATAATATAAGAAATGAATTTCTTCAAATAATTTGTTAATAGCAATTATAATATGTTCATATATTTTTTACATAAACTGTTTAAAAGACTTTTAAGACCAATCCTTTGAGAGAAAATGAGCAGATGTTAGATCGATCTCATAGAGAAAGCAATGTTTTGAGTTCATGTCTTGCCGAAGGTCATTGGACTGATGAGTGGCAGCCAGAAAAAGAATGCTGGCTTGAAAGTACTTTAATAATCTTGCGTCAGTCAGTAATTCC